GGGGGGCGGGCGGGAGCGGAGGCGGCGGTGAGGAGGGGACGGCAGGCAGTTTTATTTTACATAGAGCATTTCGCGACGCGATCGCGACCTGCACCCCCGTCCTGGAGCATCCTCGAAGCCGGTAGCTACTGAAATAAATAAACGTGCCGCGAAAGAGCCGTTTCAAAGGCGAGCCATATCGATTCCGCGTCGCGTCCAAAAAGGAAACATCCGGCGGAATTTAATCCACTTTCCGTCTCGCGCGCGCTGAGCCTCTCCATCTCCCCCCCCCTCTCTCTCTCTCTCTCTCTCTTCCTCGCTCCCTCCCTCCCGTGTCCCGTGCGCCGCGTTACACGCCGCTTCTCTAATCGAAGCCTCGCCGATTCCATCGTGGAATTGATTTCCTTCTCATCTGAATATCATTTTCCCCGGGACGATCGCGGCCGCGCGCGCGGCGGATAATCACGGAGTTATGCCGTAACACCTCGGAGGCATCCTCCGCCGCTACACGGCGCGTGTATTGTGTGCGACGGCACGGGGAGAAGGGACGAGGGGAGGGCAGGGAACGTTCAACTTGCATCGCGAAACTAGCGTACAGCACACGTGCGTGTGCGCCATCATCACCGCTGTATCGGTTGCCGCTGCATCCACGTCCGGAAATTTCGCGATAACGCAGATACTGCGAACTGCAGTATCTACAACCCTTTAATTTTGCGTACACATTTTTCGTTTTTATAAATATAACATGTATTAATATCCAACTATAGCATATTAAAATTAACTGCAATTAAAAATAAACACGAAAAGAACAATTTTGCTGGTTCCAGATCTGAAAATAATTTTTGTTCAATAATCAAAATAATTTTGTGCGAAAGTCAAAATGATTGCTAGAATATCAAAACGTTTTATAGCAATGCTGATCAGTGTTAACATTCCAACAAATTATTTTGATGATTCAACAAAAAATTATTTTCAGATCTGTATTCAGTAAAATTTTTAGATCTTTTAACAAAATCGTTCTTTTCGTAAACGTATTGAATTATTTTCGCTGTTTATGAAGATTTATAATAATATAAAATAATAATAAGATAATATAATAACATAAAATACTAATTTATTAATATATTTAATTATTATTAATATAATATTTTACATAAAAATTCATAATAAAATATAAAATGCTGGCAAATAAAGGTCATTCTTATTAGTCTCAAATCGATCGCAAGTATATGTTAGTATTTGACGTTTTTGCTCGGCTGTCGCGCGACATGCTTCGCGATCGACTTGCTTTTAACGTAGTGCGACCTCAAAGAGTCGGAATGAAGATGCACGAGCGTCTTGAAAATTAGCGTACAGTTGAATAGGCATCTGACGCAGCCCGGGGAAAATTTGCGCGCCATTTACAACATATTGCTATCAAAGCGCCAGAGCACTTTCGCGATTGATGCGCGAGCATACATAAAATTTTGTGCGCCGACGTATATACGTTGTGATACGTTTATGAGCGCAATACCGCGGGCGGAGCAATTCGTGACGAGTGGCGGAAAGCCAGGGAGGAAAAAGGAACTACGAGGGAGGAGATATAAGGGGAGAAAGGTGGATAAAGGGGGAGCCAGGACTTGTGCCGATCATTTCAATAGTTACCGTTCGAAGTACATTCTCTTCGAGACACGAGAAACCTTTCTCCTTCAACCCCTCGCGAGCCGGCATTGCGAATTTATCCACGTTAAGGGGATATCGCGGCGCGGCGGCGGGAAGGGAGAGAGAGAGCACAGCACGTTGGAAAATAT